CAAAAGAAAAAAAAAAAAAAAAAAAAAACACATTGCGGGGCTTAGTTTACTTGCACATTTGAACAAGGGGATTTAATTTAAATACATACTGTCTCAGATAAAAGTTCTAGGTGCTTAGGGTTAGTCAGTAGGCAAGGTACTTAGATGCTCTGCAGGGCTTATATTTCATAGGGTTACCAGTCAACATACATTCTCAACTCCCCTCAGAAAATTGCCTGAGTTTATTAGCTTAGAGCTGAGAATTGAATGCAGGCGTGTCTGATTCTGACCCCAAAATAGCACATAGCTGGCTATACTCTTATCTGGACTGGTGACAGCTAGCTTTCTCACTGTCCTCCTTACTCCAGCTACTAAGAATGAAGTGGAATGGTATAATAGCATTCCACTTCATTCTTAGCCACAGTAATGCTTTATTTATTTATTTTTAGATGGAGTCTCCCTCTGTTGCCCAGGCTGGAGCACAGTGGTATGATCTTGGCTCACTGCAAACTCCGCCTCCTGGGTTCAAGCAATTCTCTGCCTCAGCCTCCCGCGCAGCTGGGATTATAGGCATCCATCAACATGCCTGGTGAATTTTTCTATTTTTAGTAGAGACAGGGTTTCACCATCTTGGCCAGGCTGGTCTTGAACTCCTAACCTCGTGATCCACCCACCCCAGCCCAGGGTAAAGCTTTTTCTATTTATTTTTTATTTATTTTTATTTTTTTAACAAACTGGATTTTGACCCCGTTTCAAGGCCCTTAATTGACAACTTCTGGCATGTCTATACTATAAAATACTATCCCGTAATGAAAAGGGATTGACTACTGCAAAATGCAACAAAGGATCAATCTCAAACATGCTCAGCCAGACACAAAGAAGCACATACTGGGTGGTTCCGTTTATGTGAAATTGAAAATAAATGTATCTGCCAGCAGATAAATGATTGCTTGGGAGGGACCAGCAATTGGGGGTGGGAAGATTACCTGAGAAGAGGTGGTGCTTATACCTGGATACATTTGTCAGAACTGAACTGTACACTTAAAACTGATGCATTGCAAAACTGGTACCCTTCAAAAAGCTGTTGACGTCTACTTAATTTCCTGTGAAGGCCTGACTACAAGGCATGGTCAAGCACACTGCCTGTTTTCACCCTCATCTCTTGCCACACTCTCCCGGGCTAACCCTGCCAGTCGCCTAGCCTTTGTCCACTGGAGGTACTTCACATCTTTTACCTGACATACTCCTTTGCATGGCTGACTATTTCCTGTCTTGTGGTCTTAGCCTCAATGTTACCAAGAGGTCTTCTGGCTTCTCTGTCTCCCGTGCCGTTTATCTCATCCCACTGGTTTTTCTCAAAGCACTGGTAACCAACCAGCATTTATATCTTGGTGTATTTGCTTATTCCCCATCTTCCCTAGTAGAAAAGAAGTGCTTTTTTAGTGCAGGGACCTTGCCTTTTAATGGGGGCCTGACACTGTAGGATCTCAGTGAATTGTGATTGAATTTATAAGAAGCGACTACTAAAATAGTGGTATATATTAAGTGTTTTTTTTTTTTTTAAAGATGGGGTTTCACCATATTGGTCAGGCTGGTCTCGAACTCCTGACCTCAGGTGATCCGCCCACCTCAGCCTCCCAAAGTGCTGGGATTACAGGCGTGAGCCACCGTGCCCGGCTTATATTAAGTGTTGTATGAACATACCAAATTTAAGATTCAGGCATATAAATAGGTCATATTGGTGAATAGGTACATGAAACTAGACTTGAGGTTGTGAATGGTGGGGAAAAGAATGTGTGGTATAAAATGTATTTCGATTCAAAAGACATTCTGACTAGACGCCTCTTCAACTGTAAATTGGAAATGATCCTGCCTCCCTACTTCATGAAATTGTTCACAAAGAAATGTGAAAATAACCTGAAAACCATAATTAGCATTATTAGTTAACAGCTAAAACGTTTGGAGCTTTCATTATGTGGCAGACCGCTCATTCAGTACTCACAGTTCTGTGAGAGTCGTTACTATTCTCAGCCATATTTTGTAGATAAGGAAGCAGAAGAGTCTCAGACTGTTGCTTGCTGGAATTTATAAGTAAATGTTGGTGGCAATATTCAAATGCAGTACCTCTGATTCCTGAGTTCATGCTCTTACTCAGAACTGTTCTCTTGACTGGACTTTTTGGTCGATTTGTTTGATAAGTGAGATTGGCAAATATACTTAATCTGAAGAATGAAAAATATTGCAAGCATTTTAGATAGGGTATACATATTATATACCCACTCCATCCACAAATAATAAAAAATAGTAACCGTACAGAAAATTGGAAGCATGATTCGTAGCCAGGAGATACTTCAAACTAGCAGATGGTAAGCCAAAAATCTCTCTTGACTGGGTTCGTCAATCTTCCTATAAAGCAAGGTCAAAGATGGCGGCAATGACTCAGGTCACCGGTGGGAGCATTTCTGTCCATTTCTATTTATGGTTGGTCATTGCATCCTATCTTGGGATCCGTTCATTTTCTCCAGAACTTGGGAAGTTACGAGTAACTTTGCAAGTCCAGTTCTGGCAATGAGAACGTCTAAGTAAATTCAGCCCAAAACCTTCACGCGGGAATTTTCCCCATCACTGAGCACTTGGTTTGAAAAGGTTTTCTGCACTTGTGTCCAGTGTTGAAAAAGGGGCTGTTTAAAATAGCCTCAGCTTTGACAGGGAACTTAAAATAGCTTGCAGTGAGGCCTGATACTTGGAACAATTACTAATGTTTTATATTCATGGCTTCAGGAAATAGCACCGTTTGTCAATACCTACCTCAGTTTATGCTCTAGCGAAATGGGACCATCAACCATTGCCAACGCAAGAAGGCTTTAACCAAATACCCTGGATTCCTGAGTTTTGCTTGAACCAGTTCTCAAGTGTCTTTCTCATTGTGACCTATTTTCCTTAGCGTCAGGCCCAAGCAAAGCTTGCTTGACACGGGCTCTAGACAGTGAGGCAGGTGCGTGACAAGAACACCTACGTTTTGGGGTTGGTGGGAAGGACAGGAGTTATGCCTCTGGAAGGGGCGGAGGCGGTAAGAACCAGTGTATTGAATGGGGCCCTGGTCAAAAGAACGAAGCTGCTTCGTATGCAAACGGAGGCAAGTCTTAGCCTGGTGTCGGGAGGAGACCGAAAGAGGGCCTTAGCGTGGTCGCTGACCAGAGTCCTGCTGGATGCTTTCCGCCGTGCAGCCGCCGGTGCAGGGGTTGCAGTGACGTCTCGGGGCCGCTTGGTGGTAGCCGTGTGTTTCCAAAGCTGGCTTGCCAATGGGAAAGCCTAGCTGGGATCCCGTGAACCGACCCCAGAGCCCCGGAGGGGGCGAGGGGTGGGAAGGAGAGACGCCCCGGAGCCCCCTTCGCAGCAGCAGGGATGTAAGAAGAGGAAGGGGGCTCACTTAAGTGGATAGGCAGTCAAGAGGGTGGCTGGGAAACTCCACGATCACAGGGCGAGGAAAAGCGACCCCCCTCCAGTGGAGCCGGCCCGGGGCTGGGTGTGACCCGCCCTCTCCCGGGTCCCTATTCGAGCGCTGATGAGTGAGCGCGAGTAGCGAATGTGGGCAGGTGAGGACGCTCCGTACCTAACTGCGTTCTTGGGGACCATCGCCTGCCCAATTTGGGCAACGTTTGCGCGGAGGAGCGGGTCACTGCGCTCGGGCGCGGAGCTCCGACGGCTTCCAGCGCTATCTCCGGTCTCGCGGGTCCTGCCCCTTCGGAGCTGCAGGTCCCGTCGCCGAGAGTCTGAGCGCCTCCCCTCCAACCCGGAGCCGCCAGGAGGAGGAGGAGGCAGCAAGAGGCCGCGGCAGGCAGGCGAGAAGGCAGTGCCGCCTTTGATGTGGGCTCGGCGCACCCAGGCGAGCTGAGCGCCCGTCCGGCCGCGCCCCGAGGGGGGAGCCCCCAGGCCCAGCATCCTCATTGTGCCGGCTCGGGCCCGGGCCCGCCCCCGGCCCCCCGCCCCCTCGCCGCCCGCGCGTAGAAAACGCCCCGGCCGCCGCCAGTGGTGGGAGGCGGCGATGCGCACGGCCGGAGAGACGGGGAGGAGGAGACATGAGCCGGCGGGCGCCCAGACGGAGCGGCCGTGACGCGTTAGCGCCGCAGCCGCGCGCCCCGAACCTGGAGCGCTGAACCCTGGACCCACGCAGCCCCGCGTCCCTGCCGGAGAGCTCAACCCGACTTCCAGCCCTGCTGCGCATGCTGTCCGCGGACTGAGCCGGGCAGCCAGCCTCCCGCAGACGCCCGGACGGCCGGTCAGCAGTGAGCAAGCTTCCCCGCAGCAGCCGGGCGCCTTCTGCACAGCGGCTGCCGCCCCGCAGCCTCTGCGCCAGCCCGGAGGGCGCAGCGCTCGGGAGGAGCCGCGCGGGGCGCTGATGCCGCAGGGCGCGCCGCGGAGCGCCCCGGAGCAGCAGAGTCTGCAGCAGCAGCAGCCGGCGAGGAAGGAGCAGCAGCAGCGGCGGCGGCGGCGGCGGCGGCGGCGGAGGCGCCCGGTCCCAGCCGCGCGAAGCGGACATGTGCAGGCTGGGCTAGGAGCCGCCGCCTCCCTCCCGCCCAGCGATGTATTCAGCGCCCTCCGCCTGCACTTGCCTGTAAGCGCCCGCGCGCGGGGCTACCCACCCTGCTTGGCCGTCTGTCCGTGTGCCTGTGCCCTGTGCCTCTGTCTGCCCGCCCGTTCGTTCGCCCGACTCTTCGACTGCGAGTCTGTCCGTGCGCCCCCTCCCTCAGGTCCCACTGACCGCCTCTCCATCTTTTTTCCGCAGGTGTTTACACTTCCTGCTGCTGTGCTTCCAGGTACAGGTACGTGGGCTCCTGACATTGACCTCTCCCGCCCCTGCCTCGCGGTACCTGCTGACCCCACTTCCCCGGCCGCGCCCCCTCCCTGTGCCCCACCTCTCTTGGGCGCCAAGCCCAGTGCACCTGTTCCCAGGGCACGGAAGGGCGGCTCCGCGCGCACCCTGCGCCGGCGGGGGACCGGCCAAGGGCAAGGGGCTCTGCTTCGGGGCTAGAGCCAGCGCGGGCAGTCGCGGCCCCTGTCGGCTTTGGCTGGGAGGAGATCCCGCAAAGCCTGCGGACTCAGCCGCCGCAATCTGCCTGGCTCTAAGACCCCTGCCCGCAGCCAGTGAGGGGTAGGACCTAGGGATTTTCTCTGCCAACCTTCCCTTAACATCGCCGCTTCCAAACAAAAAGGCTTTCAGCCGAGTGGATTTCGAGTCCAGGGAGAAAGCTTCAGTTGTAAATTACCCTGCGGTTTTGAAGTCGCTTGCTGTACTGAGACACACACACAAACACACACACGCCCGGGACGAGTGGAGGCACAGGGTGCCTAGGCCGAGTGGCCGTTGCCCGCGAGGCCGCTCCCGGACGGGCCGCGCTCAGCACGCCCTCGCCCAAGGTGGTGCAGCTCTCGCTGGTTCCCCGCCTGCTCCCCGTTCGCTCGCTCTCCGTGAATCAGAAGAGGGCTTGGCGCTCAGCCTGGAAAGCACTTGCTAAAATCTGATCTGTTACTTCAGCAGCTTTCAGACTCGGGAAGGTCTTGGCACGCAGACAGTTGGAACGCTCTGGCTTCCAAAGCCGTAGAAATGAAGGAAAAAGGGTGGGGGGGGAGGGAAAGAGAAGAGGGAAAAGGGAGCCGACTTCAGCCCCGATTAGAACCAGACCTGGGCTGCCAGTGCATGGATGGGAGGGGGGCGGCGGCGGGCAAAGGGAATAGGAAGCGTCAGCTCCCCAAGCCCCCACCCTCCTAGAGCTACAAGGGGGCAGCCAGGAGGAACTGGACACAGGCCAAAAGAGGGTTGTCTGACCCTTCCCCCTCGGTGGAAGGCAGGTGGCTTTCTGGGATTAGAGAAGATGCTTAGACCTTAGCCTTCTGGATTCTGGAGATCCTCAGAGAGAGCCTTGAGCACAGGAAAGTGGTGGTTCTCCCGGTTTTCTGGCTTAGGGAGTGTTGTGTGCCTTGAGCACTGCTGCGTGTTGGCAGTGGTGGGCCTGGTGTCTTCCTTCCAAGCCCAGGAGAGGGTTGTTACCCTCCTGATAGGCACTGAGCTGACACATCCAGTGGGGCTTTGGCCTGGAAGAGTGGATGGACAGACGGACTGATGGGTTCTTTCCTCTTGCTGGCCAGGCTGGGGTCCCCAGTGACTCCTTGAATCAATACAACTGGAGTCAGTAACTTAAGACTGGCTGTTTGCCAAAGCAGATGTGACCCTGTGTGGTGATGGGGGCGGGGGTGGGGAATGGCTGGTGTCAAAGAGGGAGGCCAGTGCCAGGCATGGCCTGCCTAGTCTGCAGCTGAGCCTGCAGAGGGCAGGCCCTGGGGTCACTCCAGGGGGTCTGCTTGTCTGACTTGGGCAAGAGCTTGATTCCAGAATGCTGAGCCTGGGGGCAGGAGGGATGGAGTAGCATGGAGTAGCAGGGAAGCCTTCAGATGTGTGGCTCAAGCCTCTCGATACCTGCTGCTCTTGGTTCTTCTTGAAGTGGGGCCCAGGAGGGGCTGCTGTGTGGTCTTTGTGTTCTCCGGGGTGCTGGAGGGAGGGAGTGTGACTCTGCATCCCACCTCCACCTCCTGGCCAGAGCTAGAGCCAGCATCTTGGGAAAGAGCTGGGTGATCTGCCCGAGTTAGGTCAGGAGGCAGCCTTGGAACAGGTGAGGGAGGCTCCTTTCTCCACCGCCTCTGCCTTTCCCCTTCCTTTGCCCCTTTGTTTACCGGCCTTTCTGCTTCCGAAGTGCCATAGGACTGATGTTTTTAACCCATGGTCCATGTATCCTTGGAGTGTAAAGGATGCAATTGTGGGAGGGTGAGGCCCTTGAAACATTGCGCAAAAATGGTGCTCAGATGTGCTGTGTCTGGAAGAGGGTTCTTGTCTCCCCACAGAGTTTCAAAACATCTGTGACACCTAAAGATGAAGCAGTGTTATCCTGGGGGTTATGGGCAGGGTTGTCCCCATTCATACTACAGGAACAAAGGTGGGGTGGCCTTAATGGTTGAGATGAGGGGTAGGAGCCACATGATGTTAACTGCCAGGAGTCTGAGGCCTGCTCCCTGCTGAGGTTTGGGCAGGCTGCACTCAGTGGGTACAGTTCAAGCTTCATTAGGGTGAGCAGGGGCCAGGGGGGCCTCTCTGCATGGCAGGAAGGGCTCAGGGCTTTGCAATCCAGTGGCCTAGGCCTGAACTCCAGCTCCAGCTCCATCTTTCCCTCTCTGTGGATCCCTGGAGTCTTAGCTGCGTCATTTGTGAAATGGGTGGTCATGGGGTTAAACTGGTATATGATGGGGGGCTGGAGTGGGGGAAGAAGTTTTGCAAATTCTCACCCACCCAGGAAGGCGCATTGTTGCTGCTGGGAAATGGATGTGTCTGCACCCTTCCCTCCCCCACGTCAGTGCTTTCCAGGACTGGTCCAGTCTTAGCAGCTGAGTTTCTGGGCCCCTCCTTTCCTCCTGTCCATCGCTACCAGGCTCAGAATGGGTCCCTGCCCCCAGCTACGTTTCCATGAGCACATTCAATGCCAGATACCATCTTGCCCACCCCCAAAGCGGTGAGCCCCGCCCTCACCCGCCAGCCACCCTGGGAAGTGGGAAGCTGGGAATTTAATAAAGTCCCTTCATCCCTTCTCCATGTGACTCGGGACACCATAGATAGCTCAAATTGGAAGAATTTTAAAAATTTCCGTGGGGAGCAAGCGGCGTGACCAGTAAATTGCTTTTCTGCACTTGGCTGAGCTCTGACAATGACACCGGGCTGGGCCTTTCACGCAGCTCGGCTGGCACCTGCCTGACATTGTTCCTGCCGCCAGGCTCGGCTAGGTCCTGGCTTTCCCCAGACAGACCAGGCATGAGGCGGGCCAGGCGGGGAGGGGTGGGGGGCATCCCTTGGCCTCTTGTCCCTCCTGCCAGCCTCTTAGCCCCTTGTCCCTCCTGCAGCGCCACTTCCTCTCTCACCGCAAGAAGTGTTCAAGTTTGGAAGTTTCCTTCCACGCCCCCTCTTGGCCTGACTACCTCCATACCCAGCCTCCTCAGTGAGGTTTAGACCCTTTCTTTAATCTGGCTAGCATGCGGAAGCTGGAGAAGGTGTCCTTTGGGACAAAAAGAGGATGGGAAGCTCTCTTAGTGGATGGCACTTTTTTTTTTCCTGAGTTCTGTCATCCAGGCTGGAGTGCAGTGGTGTGATCTTGGCTCATTGCAGCCTCTGCCTCCTGGGTTCAAGTGACTCTCCTTCCTCAGCCTCCTGAGTAGCTGGGATTACAGGTGCGTGCCACCATGCTGGCCTAATTTTTGTATTTTTAGTAGAGACAGGGTTTCACCATGTTGGCCAGGACGATCTCGAACTACTGACCTCAGGTGATCCGCCTGCCTCGGCCTCCCAAAATGCTGGGATTACAGGCATGAGCCACTGTGCCCAGCCTTTTACATTCTTGAATCAACGTCACCCATCCCTCCACGGTCACATATTCATTCAACACATACTTGCTGGGAGCCTCCTTCTTGCTGCCTTGGGAATAAGGTCTGGTTAGTCCCTGGCCTCAAAGAGCTCCCAGTTTAAAGGGAGAAAGTGCCAGGTGAACAGAGGCTTGTCTATTCTGCCCCTCCTCTCCCAGCACTGTAAAGTGGAGTGAGGCAGGCTCATACATCTTCCTCCCATTTAGCAGAGGAAGAAACTGAGTGATTTGCTTGAAGGAAAAAGGTGGTGCTTGTAGAAATTCTAGAGTGTCCCTTACATCGGGAAGCTGGTTCAGTTCTGTTAACCATTCTACAGGGAAACCAAGGTAAGAGAGGGTAATAATTCTATTTCTCAGATGGAGAAACTGAGCCACAGAATGAGGAAGGGATTTGTTTAGGGTCATAACTAAGACCCAAGACTCTGGATTCAAGATCTTGTGTTTTTTCTACCATAGCAGGTAGACTTTCTCCTTAAAGAATCCTGAAATTATTCAGAAAGAGTATTGCTGGGACCATGGAGGCTTAGGGACACGCTAGGGGTCTGCAGTGAGATTCTTTCTGGACTCTGCTGTAGGGGGATGTTGAGGGCCCAGGTAGGCATCTCTGGGCTTGAGGCTGTCCGAGTTGGAGTCTGCAGGTCCTGATCCTCCTGAAATGTGTTGATCTGAGAGCGTCCCAGAGTTAGAGGGGAGTACTTGGAAGGTGGGGGCCAGGGGATTCAGCGGTCCTCTTCCACCCTTTCCCCAGTGGAGGAGGAGGAGGAGGAGGGATCGGGGCTCCCCACCAGCATTCCTGAAGCCCGGGAGTGTCACCCGCTCTGAGATAAGGAGGTGGATTTTTAGAATTTCTTGTGGTTGGCAGGGCCAGTGTCAGCGGGCTTGGGGCAGCCCATCAGGGTCACAGATGCAGGCTCTACCATGCCCTGGGCAGCTCCAAGGGCACAGTGGACCCCCAAAGGGAGTCTAGACGGGTATTAGGAAGAGACTTCCATTTTCTGCAGGGCCTTTTGCTTCTGACCTAGTCCTCTAGCAGGAGAGTTGTGGGTGTGGAAAATCGGGGTGCAGGCATATCAAGCCTTCAAAAACAACAATATTCATAGTGGCCACCAGGTATAGTGTGCTTACTACTTTTCAAGTACTTTTTTTATTGTTGTTGAGATGGAGTCTCGCTCTGTCGCCCAGGCTGGAGTGCAGTGGTGTGATCTCAGCTCATTGCAACCTCCACCTGCCAGGTTCAAGAAATTCTCCTGCCTCAGCCTGCATGCCACCACACCCAGCTGATTTTTGTATTTTTAGTAGAGATGGGTTTTCACCATGTTGGTGAGGCTGGTCTCAAACTCCTGACCTTAGGTGATCCTCACACC